TTCCTGTATTGGAGGCTTTTAGTGCGGCTTGGCTCCGAGTAAATGGACGGCTATCATTTATTAGGAAGCTAGGTTTCATCTGGGTGCCTGGTTGGGGTGTATTTGAGCTGGAGGTATCAGGGGGGATCTGTTTGTGCCCAGGTGTTTGCCTGGCTAGTGGTGTGGAGATTTGTTTGTTTGTGAGTGCAGGCTTCCAAATAATTGACAGTCTAGTGGAATCATCTCTTCTATTCATGCTTTCAGGTCTTTTTTCAATCTCTATGGCTTCTCAGATAATTCTGTAGCTAGAGTTTTCTATAGTGGCTAGGGTTTTGGTGCCATTGAAGTTGATGCTATGACCTGTGGCTTTCATGTGTTGGACTAGTGAGGAAGTGTATTCCAGCTTTTTTACTGCATTTTTGTGTTCATCCAGGTGGGTACTAATTCTTCTATTGGTCTGTCCAATGTATGTGGCCGGGCATGATGCACAGGGGACTTCGTATATGCCTTGGTTTTCCAGGTCAAGGTTTCCAGCTTGACCTGGAATGATTGACCATATATATCTATGTGTGTTTTCTGAGGTTTTCCGGGTGGTTATTCGGGTTTTCTCCCGCGTAAAATTGGAAGTATCTAGGTGACGTTTTGATGAAGTCTCATTCATCATCTTCAGGCTTGTGTCTTCGGCTTTGTGCTTCTCAGAGTAATGTGAGCTTGCAGCTGCTTCTTCCTTTTAACTGCTAGTGGGGGTGTGACTTGATTGGGTGGGGGCTTGGCTGTGTTCTGATTGGGTGGGGGTGTGTTCTCATTGGTTGGGGGTTTGGCTGTGTTCTGATTGGCTGGGGGTGTGTTCTGTTCAGGTGGGGGCTTGGTTGTGCTCAGGTTAGTCTTAGTTGCTGGGGGATTTGAGCTGGTGAGCTGTGATCCTGTTGTTTGGCTTCGCGTTCGTGGTCGTGCCACATGTTCATGGTGGGCGTCAGTTCACTTCATGTATGGGTCGGAGGGGTTTGAAGCGGGTCGTGATGCAGCTGCGGTACAGCTTCTGCTCCGTGGTTGTGTCTCATCTTCTGTGTGGGTGTGAGTCTGCTTTCTACGTGGAAGTATGGTGGTAGCATCTTGTGTGGCCCTTGTGGGTGTGGGTCTGGTGTCATTCTTCATGTTAGGTACTCGTTTGTTATTGAGGGCGGGTTTCCAAATGGCTGGTAGGCGGGAGGTATCATCTCGTTTATTCATGCTGTGTGGGCGTTTTTCTATCTCTATGGCTTCTCTGATTATTCTGTTGTTGAAGTGTTCGGTTTTGGCGATAGTTCTGGTATTTTTAAAGTCAATCTCATGTCCAATCAAACTCAGAGAACACCAAGGACACTGATATGATAAACAGAGATAAGCAGAGTCTCAAGGGCAGGTTGATAAAGTCTAAATCAAGTGCAGGGCTGTCTTTTTACCACTGTTTCTGCTCACCACTGGATTTCACAAAAAGGGCATGCTCCAGTGACCTCTATTAAACAATGTCAACTTATTGGATCTACAAATCATGTCTTCTCTGTATCACAGCCTACCTTGTGGAACAGTATCCCCCTCAAGAGATCTGGATGGCCCCGATCCTGTTAGCCTTTTGTGTGTCACTGAGGGCCTGTTTTCTCAGACTTTCAGGCCTGGGGGCTAGGGAAGTTGAGTTACTGAGGTGATTTTAGGATTAGAATGAATCATTTACCATCCTAGACTAATGTTTTCCCTGTTGGGTTTTTAATCTGTGCACTTTCCCAAGCTGTATAGTGAGAAAGGCATCATAGTGTGAGATGGGCAGCCATATAAATTATATTTTAAAAAGTGTTCTGTAAAAATACTTGGGTTTTGAAGAAAGACATGATAGGTAAGTGAAGCAATTTGGTTCTAGTTGGAGTAAGCTCACCAAAATCTTAAATGAAATATTTATAATCACCTTTTCTTTTTGGTTCCACTGTACCCCTATGAAATAGATAAATATTTGAACCTGTTTTGCAATTGGAAAAATGCAATAGAGGCCTTGAATGACGTGCTCAACATTACACAAGCAGATTATTTGGCTGTAGTTGTGGTTTTGAGAATTTATTTTGCCTTTTTTTTAAAAAAAGAACCAGCTGTTTCATTCCCATGCAGATTTTTGTCTTCGCACTGTAATTTCTATGCATGCTAGATGTTAAAAACATTGAATATGTATATATGTATATAGTTGCTAGGTTCAGTGTCTCTAAACCTAATTTATTTGAATGCTGTTATGCTTTTTTATTATTTTATTCCCAGGATGAAATTGATGATGCAGTTAAGTTGTTGCTGTCATTAAAAGTAACGTATAAAACAGCAACAGGTCAAGAATATAAAGCAGATTGTCCTCCAACAGATTTCACTCCAATCAGTAACAGTCCAGACAATGTTGAAGGGGATGACTTTGTGGACCCCTGGACAGTGCAGACATCCAATGCAAAAGGAGTGGATTATGATAAACTTATAGGTGTGTGGGGTTCTACTTCCTTAAGAAAACATGTTTGTTTGTTTGTCTGTCAAGTCACTCTGAGTGGCTTATAACATTCTAAAATGTACAGAATATTAAAAACATTGAAACATTAAATATTAATATGGATTAAGATTAAATGAATTAGAAAGTGGAATACAACGGAGTTGGTGGTGGGAATGTTATTTGAAATACAGCACACTTACAAAGACTCTCTAAGGATGCTCTTTAGACACTGCCTTATTTTTGCCACAGTCTTGAAGTTATAAAAATTGGTTCTTCATTTTCAAATAGCACTTTTCATAAAATATTATCTTTTCCGGTTGCCAGATGAGGCACTAGCGTCAAGTTCTTCAGGTGGGATTTCATGAACGTGCCATTGTTAAGATGCTAGAATTCATTGACCCTTGATCTTATTCAACTACTATGCTTCTTTAACATTCAAGATTTCAAAAGAAGTCTTATTAAGTTTTCTTTCCTTTTTAATTCCCTACTTTTATGGACAGCAGTGTAGGGATGTTTTTTCAGTTCAGAATTTTTAAAATCACAATTATGTTTAGATTCTAAAAGCCACAGGGTGTGACAGTGTCACCAGAATGGGGACAAGTGACATGAATAGCCCCTTTTTATGTTACTATTTAAGGCTGAAATCAAATAATACAGCGGCTGTAGAATTGATCCTTCAAAAAGCAAAATATGCATTGTATTCAGTAGATTTACCGCATAAATCTTAGGATATACTGTATATTCATACATCAGGTTGAATTTTTTACTGAATTATGAAGGCAATATAACATAGATTCAAACAGGTATCTTGAAAGCAAATTAATTGCATAAGATGTTCTGTCAGCAAATATTTATTGTATACTCAATTTTCAAGTCAAGACCAGCTATCTATTATGGTGTAACTAGAGATTTCAGGAGACCAATCAAATCAACAAGAATCATCACTTTTTGAGATGAAATGTAGTTCTCTTAATGTGTTCATCATTTACACATAGTACAACCTTTTCAAAACATTTCAACTATTTTCCCACTTACGTTCTGAGGAATAGGATTCTATGATTTACTGTTCATTAATTTATTCACAATCATGTATATAATTTAGTCTCTATTTCTTTTGTTTTCAGTTCGATTTGGCAGTAGCAAAATTGATAAAGACCTCATCAATAGAATAGAGAGAATTACAGGTCATAAACCACATCATTTTCTACGGCGAGGTATTTTCTTTTCTCATAGGTAAGTGTGCTTTATTTCTAGCTTATTTGAATCAAACAAAATATGCTTTCTAAATGCCTCTTTCATTAATCTTAATATAATATTGAGTACTATTCTACAAGCATCCTGATGAAAGAAAACTAAAACTTGGAGCATGGAATGGGAATGGTGGTTCTACATTCCTTGTATTTCAAAACTAGAATGTTGTCACATGATATAAATTATGGCACAGTATTTTTTAAACACAAAATAATCACTAAAATAATCACTCATGCTGCTCTCATTTATCTTTATATGACTGGCATTTCCTTAAAAAGCATACAATGTTCCCTCACTTTCCTACAGAGATATGAACCAAATTCTTGATGCGTATGAACAGAAGAAGCCATTTTACCTTTATACAGGCAGAGGTCCCTCATCTGAGACAATGCATGTTGGCCACCTTATCCCATTTATGTTTACAAAGTAAGTAACTTTTTTTATTAAATGCTTTCTTGTTTTAAAAGTGGTAGATGTTTGCATTATGCTAATTGCTGTGATCTGGAATTAGGACATGGAGGTTGAGATCAATATATAGAAAAGTTTACAGACGTATCATTTCTTTGTTGATGTCTGTTCTGGAAACACCTCTTGAACTTTGGTACACTCTCCTGAACTCTGTTGTATATAAGGTACTTTTGTGGGATGGGGAAATCATCCCAAATTGGTTGCAAATATTTTTAATGAGTAGAAAACATATGTATTGTATGTGTACATAGAGACATGCATATGTAATGAGTCTCTAGCAGAATTTTCAAGACTTAAAGAAGATTTATTAGGAGTAAACATGCCGGCGCTGCCTGGATGTAGCTGACTCTGAAACACATCATTCATTGTCACCCTTGATCCTGGTTTTCTCCCACCCCCTGGGTGTATCATAATACATATTCTTCATAATACATATTCTCCAATGGGACACATCCATAGCCAAGAGTCATCAATCATACTCTCCAGTTAGAATTTGATGCAGAAACTTTGGTCATCTAGAAACTGTCTTTGAAAACATTTATGGAATGCAGTTTCGTTTTTGCAAGCTACTGCATTGCTCCCCCCTCTCTTTCTGCTGGCAATTCTAAAAGACCAGATAAATATTTTATGAGTTGACTGCTCATTAAAAATATTTGTATCCAATTTTGGCTTCAGTTTATATAGTGCTCCATTTCCAGAGGTACTTGAAAGATTTACAAGGTATCCGTATTGTAGAATTCAAAATCTATTAATCCAAAACTTAGTTAATACAATGATAATGCGATCCAATCAAGGGCTCCCACAAAGGCTACTCAAGAGCACTCCTGTTAGGTGCTGCCTTATTCCAGAAATCAGCCAGGTACTCAATTCTGCATCAGTTTGAAACCAAGAGGATTCATTTAAGGATTGGAGATAAGAGGAACAATTATTATTTGAGATTGTTCAGGCAGTTTGTTATTTTACACAAATAGGGCAAAGTATTTATTAACATATTTCATAGCATGGCACAAGTGTGGAATTTGATAGCTAGAGACATATATTATGTCTAATGCTACAGGGAAAAAATGAATCAGGTGATTCCCAAAATCTGAATATCAGTATTAAGTACTGTAATTGCATGAGTTGTCCAAAATAATTGCTGCTGTAGGAAAATTACATGTACAATTAAGCACAATAAAATCAAATATTAGAACCCAGGGTACAATGTATTGATATGATGAGAAGAAAAGTAGAGTTTCAGTAATTTACAGTATTATTCATAGGAATAAACTAATTGGCATTACTAAATTGATTTGTATTTTAAGATGCAAGCTACTACTATGCAGGAAGAAGTTGCTATTATTACAATGAAGCATGGACATCTCCAAGGACTGAGCAGGAAAATGACTGTTTGTTTGTTATGGCATCATCAACATCATCTAAATGACATGTCTAATGTACTTGCTTCAAATGTCATAAAATAATTATGTAATCATATAATTTACACTGTGATACAAAGAAACATGTATCATTTTGATGTCAGCATGGCTTGTTATACATATCAGTTACAAGATAAACTACTTCCACAATTTATCATATACATGTATTTTTCTTGCAAAATAGCTATATATGCATTACCACATTATTATTAGCATATTTGTAGGCAGGTGTGTATCTACATTCCAAGAGGCATATTCAAGTAAATGTTGCTGAGTGAGAAAATATTTGTCCAAAGGCTACACAAGTTATTGTAAATAACTTGCCATTTGCATAACACATAATTTAACTAGAAGTTACCTTGAAACATATGTTTTGTGAAAACTTGTTTTGTTTCTTACTAGGTGGTTACAAGAAACATTTAATGTTCCATTAGTCATACAAATGACTGATGATGAGAAATATTTGTGGAAAGATCTGACCATTGAGAAAGCCTACCAGTATGCTATAGAAAACATCAAGGACATAATAGCCTGTGGATTTGACATTAATAAAACTTTTATCTTTTCTGATTTCTCTTATATGGGGTAAGGATCTCATTTTTTTGATAACTGAATGATCAAAATTTGTCATTTTGAGGTAATATTAAACTATCCAGCAACCTTAAATCAGTTCACTGCTGCTGCTTCAACCAATTTTCTTTCGGGAAATCTAATACATAATATGGCATGTGTCAGTTTTAGAAAGAACACTGCTTTAAAAAGCTTTTTGAAATAAAAGCCATTGTAAAGAGTATTTTTCTACACAATAATTCTGTTTTGATTTATTGCTGTTAAAAGTATGTTTGATAACCCTTTATTTCTTTATCATACTAACGAGTCATTTGAAGAGATTCAAATGTCATGGTTGTAATGTAATTCTTACATTTTATTGCATTAATGAGAATAAATGGAGTTACAGCAGTACGTGAAATTCTTTCAGCTTTGGAAGAAACAATATTTTATTTGAAGAAAAAAGTTCTTAAATTGCGCTGTGTATATTGTTTGGCTTGGCTCTGAAAAACCATCTTGTGGTTTTCTATAGAGTTTTAATGTTCAAGGATTGCAAACTTAGAAGGTGTGATATATTAAACTCTTTGAGCTGATCTGGCCCAATTCCTGGAGTGCCCTTTGCCAGGCTGCCGTGACCTGATGAACACAGCAGAATCAGTTCTGGTAATATCTTGTGATCATTAGTAACTTTGGAAGGTGAACACTGAAACAACTTTGGTTGTAGAAATCAGTTGGTGATCCTTTATCCAATGGAAAAAATAGAACGAAAAAGTATGACAGTTCTTTGTGGCTTAAATACAGTATGAAACATAATAAATCTGTATAAGCTTATACATACCTTTATAGTAAAGTGAAATCTATAATAAAATAATTTGGAAATGCTTCATGAAAAAGCTAACTAACGTAGTTTAAATTACATTTAAACTTAATTCTGGATACAGTATATTAAATATCCATGTTTCATCATACTTGATTGCAATATTGACTTATGAGCATTCTCAAGAACACAATCCTCTCTGTGTTGAGATATGAGATTTTGATTTTTCTGCCCTTTTCCCAGGACAAGCTTAGGCTTCTATAAAAATATTGTTAAAGTTCAAAAGCATGTGACATTCAACCAAGTGAAAGGAATCTTCGGTTTTACAGATAGTGATTGCATAGGTGAGTTACAATATAATTCTATTAACTAATTGATACAGGATATTAGAAACAAAAACTTACTTGAAGTTCTGGTTCAAAACAGTAGAATAGAGTGTTTGAATCTTGGACTAACACCAGGGACATCAGGTTTAAATTTCACTTAACCATGAAGAATGCCACAGATGATGAACTTTGCTTTATATGCTTCACAATATTTTTCTGGAGATACAATTTATGTAGAAACTATCCTCAGGCGGATATCCCAGGGCTTCTCACCTCCCTTGTCGCAAGATGCCTGCAGCTGTTGCGTGCTTTTTTCATTGTGGCTGCAGTCCAGCAGCCGCACCGAAAAAAGCACAGCCTGTTCTATGTGCCAGGCCCAGCAAGTCCAAGCAGCCGGCGCATAGAACAGGGCGGTGCCGGACCAGTGGAGAAGCGGAGCAGAGCCGGAGATCTGTAGCTGCCTCTTTCGCAGCACAGAAATCCTTTAAAATTTAAAATACTAAAAAATTATTAACTAACTTTATTCAGTTTTTCACATTAAAAACAAAAATCTCTTTTTAGTGGACAACATGTTTCCGGGTCATCACCTTTACATACAAATATGACAGCAATTATACATTCATATATGCATACTTAATTCTATTATTACCTTTTCCATTCCAAATTTTCAGTAAGGAGAGAAACAAACACATTAATTCTAGCCTCTTTCATTAATCTCAATTGAAACATCTTTTTGTTTCATTTCAATTTTTTCAAATATAATCCTTTAATATTTATTTTAAAAATAAAGATAATATGTGTTTGCCTAATAATAATAATGATGATGATGAGAATGATAATGATAATGATAATAATGATAATAAAAAAGTTACCAATGTCTCTCCTTGCTTTTAATAGTCTATATTAACTTATTTAGTCTGTCATATTCCCTTTCTATTACACATTCTTTTTATAAATTCTAGATTAATACAAATTTTAACACTAAAAAAAACAAACAAGTATAGGTTTCCCCCCTTTTACTGTTTTGAGTGTGACACCTCAATGATTAAAATATACCTTTATTCCCTCATCTTAATTCCCAATAAACCATTATTTTTAAGAAGTTGCAATAATAATCATTACATCTTTTCACTTAGATTCCGCAGCTTATTTTCCCCCCTTGATTTTTAATAACAGTTATCAGTATATTACCCTATTTTCTAAATATTTTTAATTGCAGAAATATTCTTATTATCCCTTGTCACCCTGCAGAATCCCCTTTTTAATTCATCAACCATTATCTCTGAAAAAACAATTTCTTTTCAACATTTTACTATTTCCGTATTTCTTTATTTCATGCACCTGTTTCTTACTGCTTCTCCTCCCCCTTTTTTCCCCGTATCTTTTCTCATTCCAATTTATACCCCTCTCTTTCTTAATATCTTCCTTTCCCCTTTTCTGCTGTGTCTTTCTGCCTTTCTTGACTTCACAGGTATCCCCCCTTTTGATTGCCTTCTTAAATCTCAACTTTTTAACCTTCCGTCTTTCCCCACTTCTTTGTAGTGTTAATTGTCTATTTAAAATGTCTTCTCCTTGAATTGACTCCTCCTCCTCTGAAGCTCTTTCTTCTTGTTCTTCAATCGCCATTTCCATTTTTTCTAACACAGAGCAAAGTGATTCGCCTCTTTCCTGTATTAATTCTCTCATATTTTTAAGTTCCATTTTTAATTCCCGAAGAGATATCATCATTACACACTCTTATATTTTTTTATCATTAAAGTCCACACAAAAAAAACACTTTTACTTTCCTTCTTTCTTCTTTCAATTTTCTAAAGTTCTCAGTTATTCCAGCCCAGGGTCTATACCAAAAACATCAATCAATCCCACAGTCTTTCCTTACTTTTTCCTTTATTCTGGTTCTGCTTTCACTTTCTAAGATTCTTACTTTGTTTCAATATTTCTTTAATGTTATATCCACACAAGTTCATTCAGAAACAGGATGCTTTCCCTTTTGTTTGAGCTCAAGTTTTTATCAAAAGGTGGCACTCTCCATTATACAAAGTCTTCACCTTTTTCCCCTATTTTTTTATTTAGGGTTTTTCGAACCTCAGTGTTCCAGCACAGTCCAGTCTCCAATTTGTAAACTTTATTATTATTATTTTTTGACAATCTTAAGTCCAGCTTTATTTTATGCCTGTTTATTCCCAAAATATTTTAGTCCAATTTAGTTAAATCTTTAGTTCCAGCTTCTTCCTTTCCCGGTTCGAAGCCCCGCTTAGCTGTCAAAAATATTTTCTTTTTTTTTTTCCTGTCCCTTTGTAATTTTGCTGCTCACTTTTCTTTTCTGAAAAATTCTATGTTACCTTAATCCCGGGGTACTTATGTTTAGTTGTGTTGCCCAGTTGTCCCGGTTCAGATGTTATCCACCTCTTTCTTCCCTCCTGCACAAATCTTAATCCAGCTGAGTCCTCTTCTTCAGGGTGGCCATTTTAAACCACCGCTGCAGTCGTCTTCGGGGGGAAAAAGACCAAGCCCGGGGGGGGAGATGCGGCTCCCCTCAACCTGGCTTGCGGCTTCCCCTTACTCCGCCGCCCCTCCAAGGCAGCTTCAGCCCCTAATCGTAATGATCGGGGCTCTCCAACAAAAGAGCACGGACCATAGCCGCAGAGAGCCGCGATCTACGGTCTGTCAGCGAGGAGGCTCCGCCTTCTTCCCTTCAAAATACTAAAATTTTAAAGTATGTATTTGCTCTCATGTTGTCCATTAAATGTTTAATTCTGAAATATATTTATATACATTCTTTACATGTAATAAGTTATTTAACTTTAGGCCTCCCTTAACTAGCATTTCTTATAACATTGAAATCTAATTTCTGTATTTAACTACTCTTATTTTTCATTAAGTTCTACTGAACAAATTTTGTGCTTTGCTAGGAAAGATCAGTTTTCCTGCTATTCAAGCAGCTCCATCCTTTAGCTCATCATTTCCTGAGATCTTCAACAATAGAAAGGATATCCAGTGTTTGATCCCATGTGCAATTGATCAGGTAAGAAAGCTGTCTCAGATGTTTTAAACAACTTCCATTACAGAAAGCAAGAGTAAATATTAGAACTAGATATACATTCTGCAGATCTCTAGTTCCAGTTTGCCTTTGATCCAAGCTTCTATCCTTTTTAAACAATTTAACTTAAGGAAATTTTGTTTAAGAGACAAAAGTTTTCCAACACTTTATACTATTTTTAATGCTTCCTCTCCTGACTTGCACTATAACAGGCTCGTGCTATAATGCTTTTTGTTCTGGGTTTTCTCCCCTCACCCCTTGGTTTTAGGATCCTTATTTTAGAATGACAAGAGATGTAGCCCCTCGGATTGGCTTTCCCAAGCCAGCATTACTGCATTCTGTCTTCTTCCCAGCCTTGCAGGGAGCACAAACAAAAATGAGTGCCAGCGACCCTAACTCCTCCATCTTTCTTACTGATACACCCAAGCAAATCAAAACAAAGGTAAGAGACCAGTACTGTACACAGATTGTACTGCTATTAAATTCCAGCTTGCTGCTTTGTTTTCATAAGACTATTTGTTTCAGCTCTACATTTTTTCCACGATTTTTCCCCAAAGAATGTTGTAGCAAATATTGAAAACTATATTCATAAGCAGACTGAGCCTTAAATACTTCACTTTAATCATGTGTCTTTGCACTTCAAGCTAAAGTAGCAGCAATATTTAATGTACTAAGGATCCTGCAACTGGCTGTCTCTCCATGGCCGCATGAAATCATTTGACAGTTGCTAGGCAAGTTATCCCAGTCTGCTTGGCTTTAAAAAGCATGGGCTTCCCTCATCAGCCATGTTTTGCATGTTTCATAACATGCAATTGTCATATCCTGGAGGAATACAGGTCACCCTTTGCAAATTAACACCAATATGATATACAGACAAAAATGAATCTCAAAACAGGTTTAAAAACATGATTCTTAGATGTGTAGTGAAATACTTTCAGGTTTTTTTTCCACTTGTTTCTGATGCCATTTTTGAAAATGTTTTTCCTCATTTGCAAAAATATTCAAAATAAACGGTTTAATCTTCAGATTGATGAAGATCATTTCCATCTTTTTCTGGATCATTAGCATAATTTTATGTTTTATCATTTTAATATCATAATGATGCATAGGAAAATCCATAATACGTGTCTAACCAACTATTGTTGGTGGGTGGAAATGTAACTCAGTTTTGATTAATAAGCTATATTTGTTTTTGATTCAATATGGCCTTCTTTACTTTGCAATATCTGAATACTGTATGCTGCCTGAAGCTTATATAAGATTTAACTGTAATATGTTGTTCAATATTGAAATATCTGTTTATTATATATAAAGTTTATTTATATCAAAACTTTCCCCCACTTCTAATGCATGTACATGTTCTTGTATCTTGCTCCAGATTAATAAGCACGCTTTCTCTGGTGGCAAAGACACTGTTGAAGAGCACAGACAATACGGTGGCAATTGTGATGTAGATGTGTCTTATATGTACCTCACTTTCTTCCTTGAAGATGATGACAGATTAGAACAAATTAAACAGGTAATTGCCATCTCCTTTTTGAAATGTTCTATTCATCTGAATACAAATTATTTAAAATAAAGGTAGTTACTTTTTATATTTAAATTGTGCCTTATCTCCAAGACATTCAAGATGGTGTACCTCTCTCCCACTTTATAGCAATAGCACTTAGACTTAAATTCCGCTTCATAGTGCTTTACATCCCTCTCTCTAAGCAGTTTTACAGAGTCAGCATATTGCCCCCAACAATCTGGGTCCTCATTTTACCAACCTCAGAAGTATAAAAGGCTGAGTCAACCTTGAGTCTGGTGAGATTCGAACTGCCAAATTGCAGGCAGCTGGCAGGCAGCAGAAGTAGTCTGAGCCACCGTGGCTCTTTATCCCAAACACTACATGATTGTGAGAATGATTGGCCCAAAGTCATTCAGTCAATTTCCATTTCTGAAAGTTGAATTGATCCTGTCTCTCATAACGCTGCACTGGCTAAGTATTCAGGGAATTAAAAGGAACTCCTGAGTCATCAAATCGTACCTCGAATCCACTAACCTGTGCCTAAAGTATCCCTTTCTGTGATGTTGTATAAGACCTTCAGAGGGAATACTACTTCTAGTTAAGAAAGGCAGAGTGTTTTCCATGTCCGCACAGTACCTTTCAGGAGATTAGCAAGAGATGTCATGGGATATGACCATTCCCTTTGACTGTGACATTCTTTGGCAGGCCTACACAAGTGGAGCTCTGCTGACAGGAGAACTCAAGAAAGTGTTGATTGAAACTCTTCAGCCCTTGATTGCGGCTCACCAGCAAAGGCGAAAGCAGATCACTGATGAAATGGTGAAAGAATTCATGACCCCACGGAAGCTGGCATTTGACTACTAATTCTACAACTGCATGTTAATTTATCAGTATATGAAGATCACATGTTATTGTACTTTGTTCTTTTTTTTGCCTTAATTATGTACAGGCATAAACAGCACTGCTTTTAATTATTAAATTATTCCTATTCAACCAATGGTTATGTGGGAAAACCATGAGTCTCTACTTGACAAAAAAACAGAAATTAGTGGTAAATAATATTTGGACTTCATAGGTTAGCATGGTAATTTATTTCCTGGAGAAGATTGTTCTTCCACGAAATACCTGATTTCAATGAATATGTCGATAGGAAAAAAACTGACTTAATAAAGAATCCAACTCTGGAACATTTTTATATCAAGTAGGATTTCCTGTTTCATCTCTAACTTAAACTCTTTGTTACGGTCAATATATTTTAAAACATTTTGTTATACTAATTATGGTACTATCTAAATTCATGAAGTGTTGGTGTGTTTTACAGTCATAAGAATATTTATGATGGCTTGAAAGACAGAACAGGTTAATCATTCTTTGAATGGTATCTAGGTAGGAAATAGTCGAAGTATTCTGAAATTTTTGCTGACTTTTGCCAAATCACGGTACGTAGTATTTCTAACAACAACAAAAAAACAATTATTCCCTAAAGAGCAATAAGAAATTTACCAGAGTAGAAACTATTCTCTTGTCTTTGTTTCCAAGCATTTTGAATGCTCTAGTTATGTCAAGCTATTCCGTGATATTAGTGAAGTTTAGATCTCAAAGGATATGTTTGTTTCTGTTTTGCTTTGTTTATATCAAATGACTATATTTCTAGTGTAATGGTTCAACCAAAAAGTAATCTTCAGAATGTAGCTTGTCATAATTCCTACATATAGATTCTCAGCTTTGGATGCAAACAGCAATAATTGATTCCATTGTTTTTCTTTTAATAAAATAATAGAGGTTGGAAGGAACCTTGGAGGACTTCTGGTCCAACCCCTGGCCCAGTGCAGGAATCCACATACCATCCTGGACAAAGGCTATTCAATCTTTTATTTAAAATTTCCAGTGATGGAGTACCTTCATCAAACTTCAGGAGGCAGACTATTCCACTGCTTAACAGCTCTTACAGTCAAGAAGTTCATCCTTATTTCCAGTTTGGATCTCTTTGGTAAAACAACTCAGTCCAGTTTTTTTTTCTTATCCTCAAATTCTACGGAAAATAAATTCACACATTTTGCCCCATACTGCTGTCCTGCCTTTCCTTAGCCCTCTTTTCCAAATTCTTCATAGGGTTTATGAACTCTGGACTCTTTACCATATTTGTTGTTCTTTTTTATTGCCTCCAGTTCCTCAGCATTCTTTTTGTATCACGGCAATTAGAACTGCAGTATTCCAGATGCAATCTGACTGGTGCAGCATATAGTAGTACTATTACTTCTCATGATCTTGACGTTATATGTCTATTGACACAGCCAAAAAAGTACATTGGCTCTTTTGGCAGCTGTGCCGTATTGCTTAACATGTAATTTACTGAAACATCCAGATCCTTCTTACTGCTAAGCTAAATGCAGAACCTTAACATTTGTTATCACTCAACACTTTTGGATGGGGTTCAATGTTCAAATTTTTCAAGGTCCTTTTGAATCTTTTGGCTGTCTTTTGTGGTGTTAACAATCTCTCCCAGCTTTGTTTCATTGGTAAGTTTCATGAGCATTCTTTCTATTCTTTCGTCTAAATAATTTATGAAAATGTCAAAGAGCATTGGGCCCAGAAGAGAACCCTGGGATGTCTGCATACCTCTCTTTCAGGGAACATCGATCCATTAAGGACCACATGTTGGCTACCATCATTTGGCCAATTGCAAATGCATTTAATAGTGAGACCATCCATCTCATATGATTCCAGTTTATCAAGAAGGAGATAATCTATGAAAGATTGTGAAGAATCAGATGGGATTTCTCTACTGATCCAAAAACGTTTAGATCAATATTCTAGTAGTATTGATGAATCGGGGAGCAACAGTCCTGATTTGAACTTGAAAGAAGTCAATAGAATAGTTCTATGCTCCTGATGCCTATTACTTGAGTTTTTTATAGCAGCAAATCTTGTGAAATAACATATATGTATATATATTTGTGCAAAGCAATGTACAAGAAGTGAAATTGTATAAGATCATAATGTTTACAGCTCAGGAAGACTCTCTGTTCCATAGATATTTGCTCATATTATTTCAATGCCTTATCAATATTTCTATTTGGGTTGAAAAAATCTGCATATCCATCTATTTCTTGTATAATTTTGTAATAGGATATATTTTAACCAACAAAGGTTGTATGATAATAGAATTTTACTTTATTCCAGGCTACTTTTTTCTGCTTGAATGAAAAAAAATACTTTTCAGGAAATAGAGCATTCATGCATTAAATTGCAAACTCTGTTGATTAATATGCATTGATTTGGGAATTGATTTTATACTTATTTTCCGCCACTCCCCAATTACCTGTGAATTAGGATTAAGATTGGTTTTAGTTTTGCTGACAAAAATAAAAGCCCTTGGGAACAGGAGAATGGATGGAAATGGAAATGGTGTCAGGGCAAATTAATCTGAAGATAACTGTCACCCCTTCAAGAGAAGCTGTTTTTTCTAGTTTATTTATTTTTTATTAACACAGGATTTGACTCTATTCTTTCTTTCTGTCCAGTTGACTCTTGCCTTTTCACCATCCAGTTTTGTGCTCCCTTCCCCCAACCCCAAAAAATCAATTCTTTTCCTAGTACAATTCTTTTCCCTTCAGTCTTATTTTTCATGCTGGATTTGGACTAAATTTATTATTTTGATTCTTTTTGCTGGAAAGAGAGGAGCATGTGTGTGTTATATGTGAAAATATGAAACGTGGAATCAATTTTCTATATGAGGTTATTCTGTTAATATAAATTTATCATTTTGCCTCATCTTAACTTTTCTGAACTGTAGATTTTGACACACATGCCATATGTACATAAGGATATCAGATGCACCTACGTATTCAGCACAAATAATCTTCAGGGCTGCTTTAGCTGAAATTGTCAATCCTAGCTGACTAGATAGAGAAGTTGGAAGTGTAAAGCACTTCCTAGATTATCTGAAGTTCAGGTTCCTCTTCCTTTCGGGTAGGTATGGTACACATTAATACTGCATATATGGAGAAATAACTTGGAAGTTTCTCTAATTACTACATCTAAAGTTTGAGTTCCAAGAGCAGCTTTGAGGAAGGAGAAAAGAAATTGGTATAGGTACGTTGGGTAAATAATGGATTTTACATATATAAAATCTGTGTGTGTGTGTGTGTGTACACACGGGGGGAAGGCAAAGAGAGGTAGGGAGAGAGAGATGGAAAGTATGTAGTGTACATTTGTGCATTTGTATTTTCTTTTTCACTTTTTCTTCAATAGTACAATTGTTAAAAGTCCCACTTAAAAATAACAGAAAATTACCATAGTCCATCATTTTGTAGAACAACTTAGTAATAAAGAGAATTCCTTGGTGATGTACAATAAAACTGTAAGATCTTGTGGAACAAGATACTTTCACCATGAATACCAGTTGTACACTAATGTGCATATATTTGTTACCAGTATCTTCATACATACATGCATACACATATATACAAATACACACAGAGAGAAATAAATCAAAAACTGTAAAGTTCTTTAATTTGCTAGTGTGTCTCTTCTTAGTTTATAATCAGCTGCTTATACGTAGTAAATATGCATGCTGTTTAACCTGATGGCCTCAATATACTGTAATGTTCATATGGCTCCCTAATGCCAAACTCCTTTAAAAGTGTGTAAGTATCACAATAAATTTTAAACTTTATAAAACAGCATTTTGAATTGAATAAAATAGTTAAGATGTACTTGGAATCCGGTTAAGGGTTTCAAAGTGGTTCTTGTAAAAGATCCTTGTAAACTGAAAAGCATGAACCAAAGCATGAATACAGAAAATTAAATTAGGTAGGTTTTGGCTGGTGGCCTTGTGATTTTCCTATTTCTGAAGACAGCTGTGTTGTATTACCAATAAATAGAGCAAAATCAATGCAAATTCTTACAATTCAGTATTTGGAAGTGCAATAATGTCTGTATCACTTGCACATTTTCTGTATCAAGTTTAATAAGCAAGTTGCTTGGTACAGCAGTTCATATTCTTATTTGTTTGAATAAAGGGACCTAAAAGGAAAATGTAATAGATACACACTTTACGTAAGGTGTAAATGGTAGCTGTGTAGGAGTGGGTTGTTATAAATAGGAGAAAAGCTGTGTCTTTTAGAAAAATAGCTCAACAAAATGTAGCACTAGATGGGGCCACTTTGAGAGTTCCTTATTCTCAGATCAGAGCATTGATCCTGTCAACCTATTGCTTTCTGCTCACCGATCCTTCACTTAATTTAACTGGGCAAATCTAATTCTAGATATAAGGAATCTCTTTGCAAAGTTTCCTTGGGGTACTGCCTCTTAAATAAATTGTTATGGTAGATAAGTATGAATCTGGGTTGGGGAGAAACTTCAGTTATTCCCCACAATGTCCTTTGCATAGCATAGCTTCCGAACAATGTGGAAAGTAAAAAATGGCCAACTCTTAGCTACATAGTACTTTTTATAGGGATGCAGAACAGGTGTCCTGGCTGGATCTTGCAGGGGCAATGTTATCTCAGGTGATATTCAAGAAAGCAGTATGGTAATATAAACCCTAGCTTTGTCTACTGTTAAGAGAAAACACAAGATTTAAAGTAGAAGATAACTTCCCTTTTCTCTTTCTATAGCACAGGGTCCAAAGGTGATTTATATTCATTTCTTGGACAGACAGATGTAGTTGAACCACAATCATAAAAGGAGTGAATCATGAGTGCATCTCCAATGCAGAATGAAAAAGGAGGTTGACAGGACTAAGATGCTTTCTCCTGAAGGAGCAATAGATGCTAATAAAGCATTGACAGATACAGAGCACCCTAGGGCAGCATCTCTCAACCTTGGCACTCAACCCGTAAGAAGTAGGCACTTCAACTCCCAGAATAATTCCCCAACCACACATCTTAAAATTGCCAAGGTTGAGAAACACTGCTCTAGGGCAGGGTTTTCCAATATGAAAATGTTGTTCTTGGGATTGCAGTATATGAGAGACTAAAGGCAAAAAAAAAACCTTCACAGCTGGTTTTTCCTCACTAGAGCTTCGCCTCTTCAGGAGTTGTGGGAATTGTTTCTAACTAGCAGGTCCTATGGCCTGAAAGAGTTGGAAGGACCTTATTGTAGGTATTGTGCTTGGAAAAAGGTCATAAATTCAGGCAAAATGTTATAAAAACAACTTTTTAGGAAAAGAAAAAAAACATTCTCTTTTTTAAATCCTACAATATCTGGTATTCTCACAGTTGGGTTCTTAATTTTCTCTTTTTGTTAGATATCTTTTGGGTGGAGTGGCAAGGGTTATTTCAACAGCAGTCTTCTTTTGCCAAGCAAGTACTGAAATTTTTGTGAGAGCCTTTCTATCCAGACGGTCACAACATAGGGCCAAACCGATTTTTCTCAAAGAGGCCGCTGTTGGGCCTTCATTTGTAGATGATCCAGAAGGTCTTCTTTCTTCCATTGTGCACCTTTGAACCTTATGCTAATCAACTGTAATCAGTAAAAACCGTTAAATGCTGTTTTTACAACCTTTTACTTTGTTTTACTTCTTTCCTGTTTGAATCTGTATTCCAACAATAATGCACTACTGATAGCGTTTCCCATGCCATGAAGGTATTTCAAGCCCACTTTATGTTTTTTTTCCATGACCAGATTTTCTATATATGCCAATTGACCTATATTCTACGTGTTAGTCCAAAGAAACAGGGTCCCTGATTTGGAGCGATTCTAAGTATTTTCAGCCCAAGAGTTTATAATGGGTGAGCATCTGACATACAAAAGTTTTCTTTCCTGGGTATTTGAATGTATTTATGCCCTTCCTGGGTATTTGAATTCCTTTCTTTTCTGACACTAAATGCAGAGAGAGAGGAGACAAATGATTGGCAGGGCAGGGGAAACCATTGTGATATAAGTAATAGGCTGAAGGCTTTATTCTTTGATTGAGACACAATCAAGACAAATGCAACACATAACAAACATGTGCAAAACTTTTTTTTATTTTTTTTTAAATGCCCAATTTTTATAGTGTTTAACCGTTAACGTACTATTATTTAGAAACAATTCCTTTGACAAGGAAGCTAGTTGTCATCATCCCATAATTAATGAAGTAGGCAACGCAGTCATTGTTTAAATGTATACTAACCCTCAGTCCCCTTTCAAATGATTTTTAAACTTAGGTGAGATACAGACTACAATTAAAAAGTTATCTTATTTTTAACAGTGTCTTTAATCTTCAAGGAGTCATTTTTTTAAAAGCATATTTAATCAATAAAAGAAAATGCAGTCAAGACTGAGATACAATTTTGACCCTCTTGGATTGATTAAACGAACAGCAGGCCTTCAGCTCCTAGAAGAAGCTCTTACAAGATCAGTAATTCTAGCAATGTGAACTCATCCTAACTCTTGTTTGTAATTATTTAATTGTAAACAAAAGCATCCTAATTTATTCCCCTCATGCTACACAAACACCCCCCAAAAAACTATTGACAGCATAATAAAGTTTTAATGCATACATCCAATTCTGAAATTTGCACACATAAAGATAATTTATCAAGCCAAGAGTTTTCTAAAAAAGTATTTAAATAAATTGGCTTTAAAACCACTTATAGAATAATGCTGAAATACAATCTTCATTTCTCCAAACGTTCCCCAAATCTAAGAACAGCTTCATAAATTAAGAATATCATCATATTTGTAGGAAATGCACGAAGTGAGTTTAGTCCAAGGCCTTTAAAAAGAACTCTTACTCCTTCTTCCCTTATGCTGTCTCTGACACAGTGCACTAGTCCAGTATATTTACGCTGGCCATCACCATCTGCTTGCATTCGGGCTTTAATGACATCCATTGGGGTTGCTGTACCCCAAGCAAGAACACCAGCACAGCCTCCAGATAGAAGCACAGCCCACAGGTCTGTAAACATAAGTATTAATAGCATAACTTGTCATTAATACTCCAAAATTATTAAAAATCCAAATGTTGGTAAAAGAAATATCCCAAAACTTCTATTAACTATATAAAGTACCTCAAAGAAAGCCATTTTCCCCAACTTATCCTAGGAAGGTTTCTTATATTGGTTGAAAATAAAGGAATGAAGGGTGACAAGTTTTTATGGTTTTGTTTTTAACTTCTTTTTTGAGAGAGGATCATCTTAAACTCAGTGTCATCTTTCTTTGAGTAAACAAAGCATTATGTAAATTAATATAATCCTCATAAAATATCACTTCAAGGCAAAACATGAGCCCCTGTGTCTTTTTCCCAAGCAAAGGGAAGACCTTCAATCTGCATTCTCAAATCAAACTCCATCCAACACACACACATGTATACACAGAGGAATTACGAAATGTGTGACTACAGAATTTGATGATAGTAGCCTGATATGGCTGTCAAAAAAAATTAAACAAATTCATGGAGAGGATCAAACATTTGTCAAGGGCATCTGGCTGGCCCCTTTGGGTCCTAGATATTGGGACAGACCATATAAATAACCACACTTAAACAAATT